TTTTACTTTTACGTTTTCTTTTTTACTATTTGAAAAATGCTAATAATTGTTTGGATGCTTAAAGGGAATATACAACATTTTCAAACATCAGAAAATAAACCTACCAAGTTTTTACAAAATACCTTACTAGGATGTTGGTAAATGACAGTCTAAAGCATCCTGTAAAATTATGGCACCTGGTGTGAAGTAATTTTCAAGAAAATGATATTTTTGTATACATTTCCAACGGTGGTCGGCCGACCACCGTTGGAAAAACCTAAATATTTTTCAACTACTGCTCCAACTTTACACTCTTTCCAGTCCAAATTTTGTTTGCTATTTGTTACATGTTCATGAACGGGTGCAGGCCAGCTAGTCTGGTTCCCTTATCCTCCAATTTTCCGGCATCTATAAATTGATCCATTTTACCTTTAGTGGAGTCAGGGAACCAGACTACTTGAACAGTTTTGTTTTTCTTGGTTTTTCCAGCATTTTTGAACGCAAAACTTCAAACATGTCAGTGTAACAATATTTGATCTATTATACTAACCCCTCAATTAGTTCATTTCTTAAAATTACAGCAAAAGCCAACGATGTACATTCCCTTTAAATATGTGTTGCCAAAGCCGTTGTCTGGTACCCACAGAAACTAAATTCCACAACAAAATGAAAGTTGAGTACCAGACTGTACTTGTACTTCTACTTGGCATAACTTAACATCTTCCCTTGCTCAGAGATGCCAACCAGTGCAGTTTTATTATATTTTCCACGATAAACTAGTGAAATACAATAATACAATTGTTCATAGTAAAATTAGATTTTCGGTAAAAAAAAATATACATATACATATTGCTTTCATTTGACCTTGACCTTTGACCTAAAAACTGAAGCCCAGACATGTTTAGGCCTACATTTACATTTTGATCTGCTAATTTTCACTTAGCTTTCTACGAAAGCCCATTAGCGCCACTGCAAGTATATATAATGCGGATTATTTAATTCGTTATTACGGATTATTAATTCGTTATTACGGATTACTAATTCGTTATTACGGATTATTAATTCGTTATTACGGATTATTTAATTCGTTATTACGGATTACTAATGCGTTATAACGGATTACTTAATTCGTTATTACGGATTATTAATTCGTTATTACGGATTATTAATTCGTTATAACGGATTATTTAATTCGTTATTACGGATTATTAATTCGTTATTACGGATTATTTAATTCGTTATTACGGATTACTAATTCGTTATAACGGATTACTTAATTCGTTATTACGGATTATTAATTCGTTATTACGGATTACTAATTCGTTATTACGGATTATTAATTCGTTATTACGGATTATTTAATTCGTTATTACGGATTACTAATTCGTTATAACGGATTACTTAATTCGTTATTACGGATTATTAATTCGTTATTACGGATTATTAATTCGTTATAACGGATTATTTAATTCGTTATTACGGATTATTAATTCGTTATTACGGATTATTTAATTCGTTATTACGGATTACTAATTCGTTATAACGGATTACTTAATTCGTTATTACGGATTATTAATTCGTTATTACGGATTATTAATTCGTTATTACGGATTATTAATTCGTTATTACGGATTATTAATTCGTTATTACGGATTATTTAATTCGTTATTACGGATTATTTAATTCGTTATTACGGATTACTCATACGTTCTGAGTCATTACTCGGCAAGTATGGCGCAGGAGTGCGAGCGTTTCATTCGATGCTACTTCCATCTTGGTTTAACTTACGAGGAAATTCTGAACATCCTCCTATTTAATCACAATATATTAATAAGTAAGCGAACACTGAGTCGAAAATTGAGAAACCTGGGTCTGTTTCGTCGAAAATATCACACAGACGTGATAGATATTGCCTGCTTTCTGCAACAAGAGCTGCAACAGTCTGGAAACCTACACGGCTACCGATGGATGCATCTAAAGTGCATCCAAAATGGCATCAACACAGATAAAGAAACGGTCCGCCTGTTGCTTGGAATTTTGGATCCAGATGGAGTCGAAATAAGGGCAAGAAAAAAGTTGCAAAGACGGCTGTATCAAGTTCGAGGACCAAATTATATGTGGCATGTTGACTCGTATGATAAACTGAAACCTTACGGGATCTGCATTAATGGATGTATTGATGGTTTCTCTAGGCGTGTTTTGTGGCTTGACGCATATACAACAAGTAGTGACCCTGCTGTCATTGCGGGATATTACATGAACACGGTTCGTTCTCAGATGGGATGCCCAAGAATCATTAGAGCTGATCATGGAACAGAAAACACACACATCCGACAGATGCAGCAGTTTCTTCGAAGGAGTCAGGATGACGCATTTGCTAAAGACAAGAGTTTCATGCAAGGAACCAGTCAAAATAATCAAAGAATTGAGTGTTGGTGGGGCATGCTTAGAAAACACTTCACTCAGTTTTGGATGGACCTCTTCGCCCAAATAAAAGAAGAAGGCCACTTCAGTGGGGATCATCTGGATAAGTCACTGCTGCAGTTTTGCTTTTTGAATATGATCCAGGTAAGCTGTTAATTAGCTGGTCTAATAAAGTATGATTCGTGCACATTAAAGGATATCCCGCTGTATGAAGTTGTTTCAATCAATCTTTAAGTCTAATTGTTTGTTATTTCAATTTCGCACATCACAGGGCGAACTAGACACTGTTGTAAAGGAATGGAACGCCCATCGCATCGCTCCCTCCAGAAACCGCCATGGCCCATTTGGTCGCCCTCTTGTAATGCATACCATGCCACAGCTTTATGGAGCAGAGAACTTCCTGGTAGAAGTGCAACAAGATGAAATTGATGTATGCAGCAGTGAGTGCATCTTTAAAGGCCGATACCCATGCGACAAAGATGTGTTCGACCTTTGTTCAATCATGATGGAAGAACGACTGATGTCTGTGCCAAGTACAGTGGAAGAAGGAATAAACTTGTACAATAGTCTCAGAAGGATGATTCTAGATGAGATAGACCTGTAGGCCACCTATGTGTCCCAAAACTGTGTCTTCCAGTAATTATATAACAATTAATCCCTGGTTGCCTTGAAATCTGTAACTTATGTTTTCCTGCAGCAAACATGATTTAATTAAGAGACATGTGATTTCAATTCTTCACTTTCGGTTTGTCCTCTTCTACAGCACAAACTTCGTGGGAAAGTAGGGTATAGGGTCCAACTTCAAGGGTGAACAGATAAATAAACTAAAAAAACCCAGAGAGATACCGAGATGTACTCAAGATAACGCTCTTTATTGTTAACATGCAACACTTTGAAACATTAGGAGGTATAACTGGAAAATTTAACACAATTCTCAGGATTTTGATCAACATACATGTAATTTGACATGCAGATAAAAAATAATTTTTAATCATAATACATGGGCCATTAAACTAAAAATGTGAGCAATCTTACTTTCAAAGTCCGTTTCATTTCGTACTAAATCAACAAGGGTCATTTTTAAAGTGTACCAGCTATGAGGTTGTCCAACAAATTGGCAGCTGTTATTAATAAGAACTATGATTTTAATCTTGTTGTATTTAAGTGTTTCATTTTTTATGCATAATATTTGTCAACAGTTATAATAATCCAATTCAAGCTCAATTTTATGAAAGTTTTTTTTTGGCAATTTTCCTTTTAATCCTTAAAAATTGAGTAAACATCTTGGAGATTATCTAATTATATTTCTGCATTTTGTTTATGATGGAGAAATAAACGAGATTTGAACACATCATTGTACATCATTTGCACATTACTGCACCAATTATGAATCATGATTTGTATACAAAAGTCTTGGAGAATTTAATTACACTGCCCTTTTGTGAATCTCCTATAAAAGATGGTTTAAACTTATGCAACCTGATTGTAATGAATGGTACTTCAAAAAGTTTGGCATTAAATTATACCACACCATTTACGTTACAAAGTCATAAATTGGGCTGAAAGGTCTCTTGTAAAACCAACATTGTCTATGTAAGATATGGAGCTTATTGTAATTTTAGATTGAAATGCAAACCTTTAATATTGCCTATTTTTTTACAAACAAGTTTGTTCGATGACAAAAACATAAATAGGCACACCCTTGGTTGAGCTAATGTGATGATTAAAAGTGTGATTTACAAAAAAACACAGATTTGGTCATCCAAACTTTGCTAATCATGCCGTAAAATTTTAAAATCAAATTAAGTGGAAATAAGTATGTTTGCTTTTATATATATATAAAAAACATGTAGTAACACTTTTTTTAATTAACACCACACAAATTTGGAAAAACAAAGATTATCAATAGCACATATAGGCTTACATACTTTCCTCTTTTCACATGGACCTAAATAGTTTGAATGCCAATAGTTATCTGGTTATCTGTTGATTAGCATACAATTAGAGTCATTAAGACATTTTCCAAAAACGAAAATCACTATTTGGGGCTAGAAAGAGGGTGGTCTCCCTTTCCTAATTGTATGTGATGCATGTAGTTAACAAAGCACCAGTAGGTAGATACAGGTTAATGGCAAAAAGAAAGTCTTTAAAAGAAGACATTTCCATTTGTGGGAATTTTGAGATCGTCCAATTGAAAGACATTTTTTAAATCACAGATTTGTAATGGTAAGAATTTCAGATTGTCAAGATGAAATTCAATCCATTTATCACTTATTTGTAATCATGCTCACACGTGTTCGGTTTTTCCCACCCATGCATTCAAAATAAGACTGCTCCTTAACTGAGCTGTTCATCTGAGATCATTGCTTTTGTGTGTGCAACAGAAACAAAGAAGGAAATATGAAACTTCCTATGGGTGCAAATTAAATCAGCCCTTTATACATTTTAGGTTATACATGTAACATGAACAATAAGCAACTATTACAAGCATGCACAAACTTGAACACTGTGTGAAAAATAGTAGTCTCTTTATCAACATACAGTCTACATGACAAATATATATTATTTAAATGCTGTATAAAAATAAACAAGTAAAAAATGCCATCTTTCTTGTAACGTCCTTGATAGGTAAGCTTGGCAATCTAGATAACATCCATCACCCACACTCCACTTTGTAAGATTTCATTAAATTCATGTCGCAAATCAACAAAACTTTCGTATGTTGAGGGCACCTCCAACACATTTCCGCATGTATGACCAATTGGCCTTCTTTCAAAACCGGTCAGCTGAGTAAATATCACGTTGATGACATTCACTGAAAGGACATCGGACCCTGTACAAAACCGCAAAAATCTCTTCAGCATGTGCTCGTTAAGGGATCTCACATATCTCTTGAGATATGTTCCAACAGTTTGTTCATTTGCTGTACATTCTGGAGGAAACTGCAACATAGCAATAACCTTCTTGGGTGAAGGCTGCATTTCCTCATAGAGATTGAGAAATTCAGATTTGGTCAGGCTACCATGAAGTGATTTCAGCACTGGCTGCATGCAATCAGCTATGAATCTTGGCTTCTGAATGATCTCTTTGTGCCCCATTTCAGAAATGATGTGGGAAAGGTTGGTTTCTGATGGCAATTTCTTGCAGTCATATTCCCCCAATATTTCAACAAGTTCCTCATTGTCAGAGGGGAATTCCTGCAGTGCAGCTTCCAAGATGTTTCTCTCACTCTCAGGAATGTACTGCAGGAATGCTGATTTTGTGTCAGCATGACTAGATCCAAACAGTGCTGTTTCCATGAATACTGGGGACAGTGAAATGGGAAAATACCTAAGATCAACCCATCCCTTAACAAGTATTCTTGCAACAGCTTCCCACTCTCTCTCCCCAAAGTCATGCCTAATCACAGGTACTTTGTAAGTGTCCCCGGTGGTCATCTCTTCGTAAAATTCCTGCCAGAATTGAGTGACTGCATCCTTGTAAACCCCACTACCCAGGCCCGCCTCCATCTGCCCACTAGGAAGTATCATATGCACAGAAATGTTTGCATCCATAATACCAGGATTCGAAAATGAGTTGATCATGTCTCGCACAACTGCTCCCCTTCTGATCAGAAGAACCTCTGTTTGTGGCAAGGGGATAGTATCATCTAGCTGATTCTGAGTATCTGGGGTATGTGTTGGTCCAAATGTGATTGTAGGAGTGTCTGGGGGAGGACTGGGTGAGCGAGGAGCTTCATTGTCAAATTGAGAAGTTGGGCTTGAACATTCCTGTCCAATTTCAACTTCATTACCTACATTCTCAAAAGGCAAGGGCATGGCTTGCTCTTCGCCTGAGTCAGACGACTCAATGATAATTGCCTTTTTTTTGTTATGGTTGGAGTTTTCATTCGCACTTTCAAGGGGTTCGATCTTTTCTTTTGTCCTTAGGTAAAACCTCAAAATTGGCATTTTGGATTCTTCATACAGCTGGCCGACTGTGAATTCATCACACATTGATTTCTGCCGAAAGTCGCAAATATCAAATTCATAATTGGACTGGTCACCTTTAGATGACACTCCATCTTTAAAAAACAAACCTTGAGCAAGATCCAATAACTCAGCCCGCCCGGTCGTTTTCAGCACAGATAGCTGTCTTGTACCCCCACCTTTCTGTTTCCGAACTTGTTTGTAGGTTTGTGATGTACAGTCAAAGTCCAGCCAGCCAATGTCTATCTTTCTCTTGTCACTTGTGGCATTTCTGTTGCCTTTCAGCAGAGATGACTTGCAGCTGTGGCTAGAGCTAGCTCCTGATGAACTCTCTTCATTTTCATCACTGCCAGATTCTCCTTCATTTCTTCTAAGTCTCAACTTTTTCCGCAGTTTCTGCAACAGTGCTTGTTTCCTTGGGTGCTTATCAGTGGGCGCTTGTGGGGGTTTAGTACAGAAACTCCGCACTGCGATTCGGTCTCCTAGTAACGGGATGAAGTCTGCCAATGCAGTGTCTTCCATCATAACAACAACAGCTGCATCAATCTAAAACATAATGGTCACAAAAGTAAAATTAGTTGATATGTGTTCAAGAATTTCAATAGTGTCACTAAAACTTTGGAAAGATATGTCTGACAAACTGACCAGGGGCAGATCCAGGAATTTTCGCAGGGTGGTTTTTTTATCGGCAAAAAATTCTGAAATGTAGACACGTGTTTTTTTCTCCGGGCACTTGGCACTCCGTAAATAAAAAAAAAAGGGGGGGGGGGGGCTCGTAGCATACTTTCAATGGGGGCGCTGTTCATCACAGAATAATGTACATATACCCCCTAACCAAGCTGGCTCAGGACGTATTTCGTGCAAGGCAGACATTATTACTAGCAAAAGAATTTTAGGTGTCGGAGAGGGGGGGGGGGGGTTTCGATTTTTTCCCCAGGAATTTCTATGGGGGAGAGCTGTTTTTTTTTTAACACCCCCCCCCCCCCCTGGATCTGGGCCTGCTGATAACACACTTGGCCAACAGATTATCAGGGATCACGGGGTCACATGATGTATTAATCAATAGTGAGAAATATTTCTACACCGTTGCACTAAACAATGAACTCACACATGACCTGATGAACTTATTCAACCAAAGTCAACAACTTTTCACTTTGTAGGTTCTGCAGGCAATGAAACAACCAAAACTGACTCAATTTTAGCAGTTACCCTTTGCAGACATCATGTAAATAAAACAGATAAAAAAAGCAAAACCAACTTTGAAAAATACAAACATTGTTTTTGAAATCATAATGAGAATTCTCACCTTTTCTGTCTTCATTCTTTCTATGATATCAGGTCCCACTCCTCGTGACTCCAAGAATTCATAAAGGTTGGGAGTTGCCATTTTGTTTCTTCTGTCAGATTAGAAAATTATAAAGCATAAACAATCATTACAAATTCAGTGACCATCTTTGATATGATAATTGTTAGATGTGGATATTTTGCCTGAGGTAATGACGGCAAACTAACGATTACTAAAGGTTTGCCCGCGGCAATCCATATCAACAGAGGGCGCTGTACTCTTTAAAATAGGGCTGAATTATAAGATGTATTAAAATTCCCACCAGTAGTCGTGTAGCACGTTTGGTGTAGTGGTTAAGCAAAGGCTCTAGTAAGCGGGAGGATAAATAAGAATATTTTTCTTTCATTATTTTAACATGTCTCAAACATTTTTTGCAGAGTATTACATTTTCTTTGTCAGATTTGTGGCTCTGGAGGATTTTTTTTAAAAGGGAAATAAAGTCCGAAATTATAAAATGGTCTGAATCCCATCATGTGAATACGAGGTAACAACGATAATTTTGGCATGGAACCAGACTAAAACTTATAACCGGAAAAAGTTAGAGTACAAAAAAACATCAACTGCGCATGTTCAGTGCATATCCGGCAAACTAACGTTTACTAAAGGTTTGCCGTCTCCGGCAAAATATACACTGCCTAATTGTTATGCCCAGGGAATTAGTGGGCCGGGGTGTGCAGCAGTTCCTCTTTATGGCTTCATATATCGTCAGTCCACCTAAACCGACGAGGATATGTTTTGACGCACTTGCATCAGGGGCCTATTATAGCGCCAATTATGATGACTCGAGGATATAGGCCCTAACATTCTAATAAATGACGAAAAATTCCAGTTGTGTCTTCACATGTAATCGCCATCAAAAGAGCAAAAATGTGCAAACAGGGTGACGAAGGGTGGAAAGACAATCAGAAATTTACCTTAACAATACCTTCTTCAACGGTCACGTAGCGGTTTGTCTTGAAAAACGGGAGGGGGTTCAGCACGGTGCCGGTTAAAACTTAAAAGCAAACGTTGAATGCAAAGATAGCGCCACCTAGTGGCGCTATAATAGGCCCCTGATCACGTGCTCGATCACGTGTGAGAATAATCCGTAATAACGAATTAAATAATCCGTTATAACGAATTAGTAATCCGTAATAACGAATTAAATAATCCGTAATAACGAATTAATAATCCGTTATAACGAATTAATAATCCGTAATAACGAATTAATAATCCGTAATAACGAATTAAATAATCCGTTATAACGAATTAGTAATCCGTAATAACGAATTAATAATCCGTAATAACGAATTAAATAATCCGTTATAACGAATTAATAATCCGTAATAACGAATTAATAATCCGTAATAACGAATTAAATAATCCGTTATAACGAATTAGTAATCCGTTATAACGAATTAATAATCCGTAATAACGAATTAAATAATCCGTAATAACGAATTAATAATCCGTTATAACGAATTAATAATCCGTTATAACGAATTAATAATCCGTAATAACGAATTAATAATCCGTAATAACGAATTAAATAATCCGTTATAACGAATTAGTAATCCGTAATAACGAATTAATAATCCGTAATAACGAATTAAATAATCCGTTATAACGAATTAATAATCCGTAATAACGAATTAATAATCCGTAATAACGAATTAAATAATCCGTTATAACGAATTAGTAATCCGTTATAACGAATTAATAATCCGTAATAACGAATTAAATAATCCGTAATAACGAATTAATAATCCGTAATAACGAATTAAATAATCCGTTATAACGAATTAGTAATCCGTAATAACGAATTAGTAATCCGTAATAACGAATTAAATAATCCGCAACATATATACTTGCAGTGGCGCTAATGGGCTTTCGTAGCTTTCCCCTTGTGGCATTTTATAAACTTCTAAAATTTGTATTGTGATGAGTTTATGTTGAATTCAATGTAAAAGTATTGCATTTACCTATTACATGTAAACCTATGGCGTAATTCCGTTACCGCCCAGGCGTAATTCCGTTACCGTGATTAAAATGCAAATTATGAAAAGAGTGATTATTTTTTCAACTTTGTTCTGCATTGTAGTTAACAACACCCCTGAACTCTACAAATAACAGGTAGTGTCCAATTTTAAAATTTCAAAACTTCAGAGAGTTTTATTAATTTATGCAAGAACTCAAATATGCTTGTCCTCCGTCCGTAATTCCGTTACCGATATTAAGCTCCGCCCCTTAAAGGGTAATCTTGTGGGATTTTTTTTTATTTAGCGGTCAATCAATTCTATTGGGTCTTGGCTCCCTTTCCATGTTTAGATTAGTTGCCTAGCATAGAACATATTTTCTTGGGAAAGAATAATCCTTGACAAAGTGACAAAATTCCGTAATTCCGTTACCAAAGAATTGCCCATGTATTTAAGTCATATAAATCCTACTACATGTTCCCGTTAACTGGACAGTGTTTCATAAAATAGTTGTCTACCCGACCACTCTGCGTTTGTAACAACAAACGGAAACTCTAGTTGAGTGGTCGGGCACAACCCGACCACTCTTTGAATCTGTTAGAATTAATCTTTCTTTCTTTCTTTTCAGTACAGCACGTTTCCGCGGGTTTTCTCCTAAACGGTTTATGATATGAACTTGTAACTTTCAATATAAATCGACCCTCATCCCAAGTGGTGCATATTACTCTTACGTTATTATGACGTCATCGGGTGTCAAATTACAAGCGATTTTGGCTGAAAAAGTGACAAATTACGTTCATTGATAACTCTTGAAAAAAGTAATCAATGATGTTTGTATTCTGTAATCAGATAGACCATTAAAGCTATAGTCCATCATTTGCAGCCATCCGTAAATTAACTGGCGTAATTACTGTTGAAAAACAAACTTGGTTGAAAGATAGTAAGGGAACTAAACTCCCTAAGAAATTATTCTTTCTGGGAAGCTGTCATTTTGAAGTAATCAACGAAAGAAGGCATTTCCAACGGTGATTCTTAAGAAGCACCGTAGGAAAATTTAAATTAGTAGTTCGTTTTGTTATTCAGCGCAGTGCGCACAAGTATTGGAACGACGCACACGCTCGCGCAGTTGTTATAATTCGTCGGATCAGTGCGCGACGCCGCGTATAGCTGCAATTCAAAACAATTCAAAACATGATTCAGTAACTTTTGATTTGAAATTGAGATCTTAGAATGCTGCTTTTCTCGGAATGTACAGCTGAAGCTTAGCTGAAACTTCATCAGGTTAGTTGCTCAGTATCCTTCATTAGATTTTGAACACTTTTGTTGCTTCAAACGAACAAAATGCACTAATTACAAATGATGGACTATAGCTTTAATTGATAAACATTTTTTGTCGGGTACGTAAACTCGCTTGACCTTTACTTCCGGGTCTACCGGGAGGTCAAAGTTAGGTGAATTCAAAATGAATACGTCAGCCTGAAATCAAAACAAAGCAAAATTTCTTCCGAACGGTTTACGGTACAATCACAAAAACTTATACGAACTTGTACCATGTTAGGAAGATGTAATACATTTTGTTACGTCATCATGATATCATCAGGTATTAAATTACATGTACAAGCGATTTAAGGGCAAATTTTGACAAAACAGTTTGTGCTATATCTTTTGAATTAAATAGAGTATCGTGTTCGTTTTTTTGTGAGGTTGTAGACTATGCCGTGAGAAACATTTCTTGTTTCCGGACACAAAACCGCTTGACCTTTACTTCCGGTGTTACCGGAAGTGCAATGAAAACTGAATATAACGCCAAAGCGGAAGCATTTTACTACAGACATATATAGTGTTGCGTTCCCGCAAATTGCGCAGTTCACTTCCTTCCCAACCAATCCATCCATTCCACTCAGTGCACAGCGTAATGCTTGCAGCGATCCTGTGTGCCCTCACACAGGGCAAAGCTTTACCACAAAGTCTTAGACACAGGCACAAGTGTGCAGCACGTTGTACAGTACGCTATTGTATAGCGCGCAATGCACATGTAGTTACTTTCGTGACATTACTTCGCATTTTGGCTTCATGACCTTTGAAAATACGGTAATGCGGAAAATGAATTTTGCAGCCTCAAAATTACTTACTCCCCAAGTCCTTTTATCCCACAAAGTATAAAATATTTCAATGTTTTACAGCATGAACACTTATATGAAGTATTTACATGAAATGACTCTTAAAAATGCAGTACCTGTCTGGGCGTGGTATCCATACACAAAATTTATAAGAGTTGAAATGTGATTAACTCTTGCAAATTTCCATTTGTTGGACTTGATGGAGTTGCCCTTTAAGAAAAAAAGTTCATTAAAAAAAAGAAGATTTTATCACCAAGAATAATTACCGATCAAATTTTTCTCCCTGTCTTTTGTCTGTAGATAATGTTTGAGACATTTAACACACCAGCTATGTATGTTGGAATTCAAGCAGTGCTGTCTCTCTATGCATCTGGACGTACTACTGGTATTGTCTTAGATTCTGGTGATGGCGTTTCTCACACAGTACCAATCTACGAGGGCTATGCTTTACCTCATGCTATCTTGAGGCTTGATCTTGCTGGCCGAGACCTTACAGATTACCTGATGAAGATCTTGACTGAGCGAGGCTACTCTTTCACAACAACAGGTCAGTTCACATGTTATTGAAACTCCAGGGATATAGTCAATACCATACAAACATTGAATGCTTCAAATGGTGTAGTAAAAATAACTTCCTGAGGTGATCCATTAACGTTGTTTTCCCATAGACTCTACCCAATTGTTAAGTTTGAAAAAAACAAAAACACACTTAGGCCCCCAACAATTGGAATGTCATTGGCAGCTATTGAGCTGAGTGAGGACTAAAGATCACACACACATTCAAATACAAATGGGACTAAATCATTTGAGTCAAGACCGAAACAATTTTGGTTTTTTTTAATATGAGGAACAAGTTCACTCTCTTTTTCTGAAATATTGAGGGCGATTTTTGTCTGTTTTCCTTTGCAAAATTACATGCATTCTTGGAGGTGAGAAATGTTGTGTTTCATTGTATTTAATGGGTATTCATCAGTTCGACGCGGGTTTTTGTTTTTCCTACTCTTTTTTTTCTTCAAATGTCGGCTGATGTTGCAGGTGACGCTCTGATCCCCTTAAAACTCTCACAAATATCCTTCAGAGTGGATCTTTAGGTGACCTCGGTAAGGTCATAAGGCTTGAGAATTCTGCACCTACTTATGATCTCCACCGACATGAACATTCTTCGAGAAATTTTAATAGTCAAGACAAAAATCAGAGAAAACAGTAGTAACGTTAGACCATACAGCAACATCGACATGATTAAAAATGTGCAGCAGCAGGATTCCAGTCAAATCAGTGGGCTTGAAAAAAGAAACTTTTTAATTTTGCCGATGTGCACATCTATGGCAACGTGCGCAGACCAGAAACCGGAGACTTTTTTTTTTGGCCTGACATGTACTTTTTCCCTATGTTATTTATATGAAATAGAGCGAGCCACATATTTTTGAAAATATTGTTTTCCTAATTAGTAGCTTTCTTTTTGGCTCGCCCTTTAGATAGCTCATTGAAATAACTTTTCATTGTGGACATTTTGTCCACATCGCTTTGGATTTAACGTTGCTTTTATAAGAGTTTACTTAAGAGTTGTTCCGATTCCTTTTGTCATATTGCAGCCGAGAGAGAAATAGTTCGAGATGTCAAGGAGAAGCTGTGTTTTGTTGCTTTAGACTTTGAACAGGAGATGGCCACAGCAGCATCTAGCTCAGCTCTTGAGAAGAGCTATGAGCTTCCTGATGGTCAGGTTATTACCATTGGAAATGAGAGATTCAGATGTCCAGAGGTCATGTTCCAACCAGCTTTCATTGGTAATACCATTTCTAAGTGGTTCTTTTTTGTGTGTTTTATTGGCTGTTTTGGCAAATATGCCGAAACAGCCTTTGTTTTCGTTAAGATTTTTTATTTATTTATTTTTTTTCCTTCCCTTTTCTTTTTGTTCTAACCCAAATCCCATAGACTTTCTACACGGTATATTAACCACTCCACTTTTGACCTAAAACAAACTCGTATTCTGATAAAACTTACAATATATAACAACCCCATAAGTGAGCTTGTGTCCCGAAGAGTGACGTCATGATTACGTCATCATGGGTCACGTGACGTCATCCTAAACATGCAAACTTTAAGACCCTATATCTAAAGAACTGTAAGTCCGATTGGGTTGAAACTCGGTATGTAGGTTGACCAGGATGTGTTACAGGTAAAAATTGAGTTGACCTGGTCATCATGACGTCACCGTGTCATTTTATATTGTTTTTTTTGAAGTTTTGGACCTTTAATTCAAAATTCTTTTTGTATTATGTTTGCTAGGTAACAGGTATATTCACAAAATTGTAACAATTGTGTGATGTCATTATGACGTCATCAAAAACGCTATTTTTTGAAACATGTAAAAAAGTAAAACTGCTGCAAACTGCTTACTGACTGGATGGACCTGAAATATATAAATCTTAAAATTAATGTGGCCTGACGTTGCGAACTTAGCAAGTTCTTCTTCAGAGGCTAAAACAGAAATGACAGAGGTACATACATTAACATGGGGGTGCACACAAACATGCAGGGCTGAAAGAAGAAACACAAAAGGAGGATTAAGTGGGAGAGGTGTAGAAAGATGCAGGGGAGGGTGGATGAGAGAACAAAGAAACAGAGGGAGATGGCAAACCACAAGGGGTCTGGTGTGAACAGGGGAGGGACCAGAAAGGGGAAGGATCAAAGGTCACAGGGAGTGGGAACGGACAAAAGAGTGTGAGAGTGAAGGGATGATGCGGGGGGGGGGGGGGGGGGGGGGACAGTATTGAGGTGGAAAGGGATGAAAGATGGGGGAAGATGGGTAAACACAAACAAGGAAGACCAGATGGATTATCTGTAACAGAAGACAATGGAGGAAAAAAAGGATTAATCATTTCCAAGTTGGATGTTGAGACCAAGTGGTTGAATAGTTCGAAGACGATTCATCCACACTTTCTCTCTGCTGAGGCGAACTGAGTCCTTGCGATGGCCAAGAGATTCAATGCCCTGCAAAATCATATCAGAAATGGAGTGGTTAGGCAGGTTGAAGTGATGACCAACAGGGGTGTCTAGTTTCTTGGTGTTGACCGTTGACCGGTGGGCATAGAAACGCTTCTTGAGCGTATTCTTAGTCTCACCTACATACTGCACTCCACAGACCCTGCAAGAAATGAGATATATGACATTAGAGGTGTTACAAGTGATGTTACCAATGGTTCTGTGGGTAGTGACAGAAGAGTAGCCAGAAAAGGAGTCAGACTCCTTGATATGAATCTGGCAGACAACACATCTGAAACTGCACTTGAAAGTACCATGCTGGGTGGGAGGGGATGCATCTAAGGATGGGACTTCAGCTCGAACAATCATAAAAATGTTGAAGTTTTTGGTTCTAGTTAACTTGGGGAAAAAAATTAAATGCAGTTGTCATGTATCATCTTTATAACTTCAGTTAGGTTCATATCATTGCAGTATATTTTATGATTTTATTGAGGAATTTTAATTCAAGGAAATGTTTAAGTTTGTAATTGTTACATGTACATGTATACTGGTATAACATGTACGTGTGTGTATACCGGTATAACATGTACATGTACACTATGGATTTTGGGGATGTGCATGAGCTTCTGGTTTGATCTTTTAGTTTATGGGGTTGGAGTAAGGATGGGGTAGGGGAGGGTGGGGTGGGGTGGGTTGGGGGGGGGGGGATTGGGGGATAGGGTTGGAGTTAGGGTTTGTGTGAGTAGGATGAGTAGGGGAGCTAGGATGGGTGGGGCGGGGTGGGTTGGGGTGGGGAGAGGGTTTGGAATACTGGGTTTGGGTGGGGTGGGGATTTGTAGGGGTGGGGTGGGAACAGGTAGGGAGAGACAGGTAGGGAGAGGATGGGCATGGATGTAGGGGTTGGGTTAGGAGGGGGTTGGGCAGGGGGCGGGATATAGGATCGGAGTAGGGGTTGGGTTGGGGATGTGTAGGGATGGGTAGGGATGGGTTGTTGTAGGTGTTGGATAAGGGGAGGGGGCAGTATAGGGATCAGAGTAGGGGTTACATAGGGTCAGGTGGGGATGTATGGGTGGGGGAATCGGGTGGGCGGGATATTGGAATTCGAGTAAGGGTTAGGGTGGGGATGTGTAGGGGTGGGTAAGGACAGATAGGGGAAGATAGGGTAGGTGGGTGTAGGGGGTTGGGGTAGGGGAGGGTACGGGTCAGGGGAGGGGGAAGGAGATAGGGATTGGAGTTTGGGTGGGGTTGGGATGTGTAGGTGATAGGGTGGGGATGGTTAGGGGAGGATGGAATGGGTGTGGGTAGGGGGTTGGGAGGGGGAGGGGGCGGGTTGGGGATGGGGTAAGGTTTTGGGATGGGGTAAGGTTTGGGGGAGGTGGTGATGGTGCTGTGTCTACATGTACATGCATACCCATTCTTGTTATGCATTTGTGGCGACTACACAAGAGTTTTCCCATGGTAATACAAGTACGGGGACCAGAAGACACTGTTGGGGCTGCAAAAATCCACAACTGGGTCCTAATTACCCTAACAATGAAAAACTCCCCCATAATTCAGTGACGGCTAACCTATATACATATGTATTTATTAGGTAATCTGTTAACTTTTTATGTTGACATTTAAAAACTGACCCCTACACCTAGGCACATCAACAAGAATCCTGATCCCCTTCCATCATGCCCATCCCCAACCCTACCTTCAGCCTCCCTTCCTGCCTTGGACAGCGAGCCATGGCGGCTTCGCCGTTCTAGTTAAAATGCGGAAAAGCCTGTGTCCTGTTCATCGAACAGGCATAGGTCTAGTTTTTCTTACTTTTTCTTCTTGTTCTAACCCAAATCCCATAGACTTTGTACATGTTTTATTGACCGCGGCACTTTGGACCTAAAACAAACTCGTATTCTAATGAAACTTAATAAATGTAAAGACCCCATATTAAGTTTGTGTCCTGAAGAGTGACGTTATGATTACGTCATCATGGGTCATGTGATGTCATCTTATATGTGCAAACTTTAAGACCCTATATCTAAAGAACTGTAAGTCGGATTGGGTTGAAACTTGGTATGTAGGAAGACCGGGATGTGTTATAGGTAAAAATTGAAGTGACGTCATCATGACGTCATCGTGTGATTTTATATCGATTTTTGAAGTTTTGGACCTTTAAGCCATATCTCACAAACGCAATATGTTAAATTCAAAATTCATTTTGTATTAGGTTTGTTAGGCAATACGTATATATACATACACATTTTTTAAAATGTCTGACGTCATGATGACGTCATAAAAAATGCGCTTTTTTGAAACACATTTAAGGGAATGTTCGATCGTCATGAAACTTTATGGGTGGATAGATAATAACACCAGTACACAAAATCTTGACTGACGTCACGATGACATCATCGGTAGATTTTTAACAATTTTTAAAAATATTTACAATTTTATTCTGCTTACAAAATTTAAACACTTTTATTCATCCGATTGGTTTCAACATCAGGGCTCGGTCATACTGTACTTTCAATGAAAGACATCTCTTGGATTGATGTTGAAACTTCCGGTAAACTTTTGAGACCATTTTTACCCAAATGTGTGACAAACATGCTCCTTTGAAACAAATTAAAATTCCTAACAGGATTCCTAACTGGTTCAACGTTGAGTACCTTGTTCTTAGAAAAGAACTGGAACAAACTAAAATTCATGCTCAAACCACCAAATCTCAAATTGATTGGGATGCTTTTCGTCATTTGAAAAAACAGGATCAATAACTTAGCCAAAAAGTTAAAAATTAATGTTCGCAAGGTCAGGCCACATTAATTTTTAGATTTATATATTTCAGGTCCATCCAGTCAGTAAGCAGTTTGCAGCAGTCTTACTTTTTTTCAAAAAGTTAAAGCGTGAATTCTATGAATCGTCTATTAATGATGCCATAAACTTCGTACACAAGCGCGGAAGTGGCGTCAGGTTGCAACATTTTTCCCTGGCGTGTTTAGCATGTGTATCGCCACACCCGTACAACCAAGCCATTTTGTGTGTATAGGCTCCTTACGACAAAATGGATAGTTCAGACGATGATTTCTTTCTGACTAAAACTAGTTTTTGCAGTGACGGCGGCGAATGTGACAGTGAAGATGCATTGGTAATTTTCGGAAAACAAATTTTCACGCAGACGGTCCTATTCAGGCTCATTATGGAGAACAGTTGTCCGACGTGTTCAAAGTGTGGATTTGTAATTCCGAATCCACACTTTCATAAAGATTCGTCGGTCTGAATCCACACTTTGTGACCAGTGTAAGAGATTCGTAGATCCGAATCCACACCTTAACAATAGTGTGACGTCATAGCAATGGTTTAAAATGGGGCAAACTGCTTGGCCTCTCGTTTTGGTTGCTTGAGAACTGCTCATGCAGACAATTTATGCGCAGGATTCAACATTATACATGTAGTCCTCTCAGGTTGAACGCAGAGTTTTTATGCAGTGCATGTGTGCTCTTGATTTTTTTCAGTGCAATTGTTTTGGGTGTGTGTATCTGTATATTGTTTGTTTTTACTGGCTGGTCCGTGATTATTTTTTATATATTTTAAGTGTTTTTATGTACTCTGCATTTTACTGTTTACTGTCTTTAGTGTTTTCTGTAATTGTAATTTTAAATGAATTGTTCTGTATAATTGCTGGGCACCTCTGGAAAAGTAGCTACGCCCTATAGCCCGCTATCTCCAGACACCCGGCACTCAACACTGAAAACAGCTGAGCCCCAAAACTAGACACACAACCAGCTAGTCTCTCACCGAACAATGATCACCACTGTAACAATCAGTCCCAAACAACAAAACAGCGCGCGCTCACCCAGGCACGCAATATATACCAGGTACGTGTAGACGCTAAGTCACGTTTACGAACCACGTGCATGTACTAACCCTATGGTGCGCTAAACCTATGGGAATTGTTAACCAATCACGCATGTCCAGCAACTTACGGAGCTCGTAAGCTCCACCCAGTCACTGCACACAAGTGATTAAGCGTTAGTGCTATGATATGACGTCACAAATAAACAGTTTCCGCCACAAAGGCCTGAGCATGGCAGAAAATGTCCCCATACTCTAAAGCCATAATACAAAAATAAAAGGAAAGTGTGAGCATCTTAACTTCTTCTAAATAATTCAATATAAAACTTAAAGCTTAACTTAATCTTTAAAATTCATAAGAAAACATAAGGCTTAACTTCTTCTTTAAATTACAATGTAAAACTTAAGGGGGAGCCCTGATATCAAAGTTCATTAAATATTCACAAAATATAACATGTACTTTACTTACAT